AGTGTTTTCAAGAAGAGATTTTAGGCCAGAAAGTACAGCAGATAAATGACAAGAGGCCAGAGAAGGCAAACATTTTCAGACTACAGTCACCGGCCACTTTATTAGGTACACCTGTACAATTATATGCACTTTAATGCAACACTTCTGTTGTTGGTGAAGTTGTCATAAATGTATACATTTAATTATATGTTTACTATTGAGGTCATAGTTAAAGGTGGTGTTGTACTGGGCTACATTTTATTTAGAGATGTCTATATTTTTGTCCTCACCAACTACATACATGTGTCACCAAAAACTGGCACGCTAGGTGTGCACTGAAATGTTGCATTGAATCGCATACAATTGTACAGGTGTACCTAATAAAGTGGCCGGTGAGTGTATATTTCTGCAAATTAAATTTTAAAGACTGCCAGGGCTTTGGCATCACTGTGACATGCTTTTAGAAAAACACCTTACAGTATCATAAGTGTACATTTCTGCCACTGCTGCAGTGGAACAAACTCACATCATATTCTCAGCACTAGAACGCCTGGAACTTTCAATTCCCATAAAATAGTTTCAGACTCATAAACAAAATACTTTCTCTGTACTATTCATTAGTGTCGCCTGTACATTATAGTCTGCATCTGCTTTTCCCTGCACTTTATGGAGGTAATGTAGGAACAGACTGAACGAAACTTGTTTTGAGCATCATTTCATGGTAACTACATGCATTTCAGCATGCTATCCCTGAAAAACCTTGGAATCTTGGCTAAAATATAAAATAAAATTCTGTGAGTTTAGATCAAATTTGGCTGTTATTATGGGATGTGAAACACGAGAGAACCTGTACCCTTGGTGGTTCATTTGTTTTTCAGTCAGACATCTATATTCAACATTTTGTGTATTACCCCAGAGCATTTCAAACTAATCTAATTACACATTCATTAGTACCAGTTATGTCCTAATATGGTTACTTGCTATTTGTAATTAGAATCCATTTACTCTGCATTCTGCACGCTCCCTCTGATTCCTTTTCTTGTCAGTTTCAGTATCAATGTAAATATTTCAGTCTGACTGAAGAGATAGGTCAAACATCCATGGTTTTTTTTTTTTTGCAAAGCTTAAACAATAAAATAAGTGAATAATTGTGATGAAAGATCAGTTTTTATTTCTGCTCATTTCATCATTAAATCTCCTGTTTCTTTCCCTCCCCCCTATTTCTTTTGGTTTAGTCTTTTGGGTGTGTTTAAAGATAAGGAAGTTCAGTTCCTTCCATGTTTTTCTTCAGTCATTCTGACTGTATTGTCACTCCAAACTCTCATTTGGTTCTTCAATGAGGTTTTTATAGCAGGTTTTCCTTGTCAGATTTAAAGTGTCTTACATTTTTTCCACCTCTGCAGTGTCATTACAAGGTCCTCACCAGAGGAATCTGCTGAAAAACCTCCTGAAGGACTACAACCGAATGGAGCGACCAGTGGCCAATGACTCCCATGCTCTTACCGTTGTCTTCTCCCTTAGTTTGATACAGATCATGGACGTGGTAAGTGACGACAGTGGCAGTTGTTCTTAGCCTCATGTTCAATAACTGAATTTAACAAAATACCTTTCTAAAATACAGATAAAGTTTGATGTTTTTAATCTGTATAATGAAGCTTTATTTCTTGGGGAATTGAGCTCAAGCGCATTTGCAGCCTCTAGTTTGTTTATGATTAACATCTAAATTAGCCTTAAAACAGTTTTTTAAAACCATTATTCAGTGCCAAGTTAAGCATTCGATTTGTTTATGCCTAAACTGTGATAACAGCAGGCTTTTTAATTTCATTTATATTTCTAATGTTTGTAGATTTGAGGTAAAATGGTCACTTCTCTCTAAGTATACATTGTGATATTCTACTCTCTGACTTGTGATTTACAGAGAGAATGATTTCTAGGAAAAGTCACAGCTAAAATGTTTTAATATTTTGCAGGATGAGAAGAACCAGGTGTTAACCTCTAATATATGGCTAAAGATGGTAAGGATCCCCTGAGAGACTTTGAATGTTTGGGGCAATAATGCATTTGCTGCTATTATGGGTTTAGGTGATTTTTATACTTTTACATAAAGTAGTTTACATAGGCTTTAACATGTAAATTAAGATCATGACCTACACTATGTGAATCCCTTGATAGCCGTTCAAAAATGAAAAGTAGTTTCTCAGAAAAACCAACATGTTTTTGACAGAAATATAAATATAAAGGTAATATTTATTCTATTGCATCTAAACTGGACAGTGGAGGGGGCTGGAGATAAAGCAGATGACATGTAGTCCCACTAGGATACAGAGTGTTATCTGTTTTGTATTTAAGACTTGGTTCGACCACTACCTCCAGTGGAATGAGAGCGAACACCCCGGAGTGAAAAACCTCCGCTTCACCACAGATCAGGTCTGGACACCAGACATTCTCCTCTATAACAGGTAAACCACACAGAAACACACACGTCACACACATCAACATCATATTTCAACACGTGGTGTCACTTCCTCTCCTGTCCTTCCTCAGTGCAGATGACGACTTTGACTCCACCTTTAAGACCAACGTTCTGGTGAACTCCAGCGGCTACGCCAAGTATCTGCCTCCAGGTGAGTCTCTATTTTTTTTTCTCACTATTGATCAACCCCTACTCCTGTTATACCGCTCCCTCATCTCCCTGTGATGCAACAGCACCATCTCATTCTGCTGTCTCCACAAGGCTCCTCTGTTTGTACACCTGCTATTAATATTTTAACAGTATAAAACAGCATCCCTGGTTACTCACTGGTTACAGATCCCCAGCCCTGTAACACCTATATTTAGGAGACAGTCGCTGCCTCCGCTTCCTGTCTTAACCCAAATACTTTCAAATATGGGCTTGCATTTGTCTTGTAACAGCTCCCCTGGGTTCCCACAGTTCTTTACTTGGTTCTTTCTCAGTCATTTCTTTAAACACCAGATGACTGAATCTCTGGGGCTGAGTTGAAGGGCCTTCTGAAGTAAAAGTTGAGAGTTGTAAACTTAGAAAGTCAGACTATTAATTTTATTCACTGGCCATGTTTATTAATATGCTGCTGCAGTATGCAGAAACAGCTCCTCGATGCTGCAATCTGGATGTGAGCCAATTATGGGGAGAATAAAATAATATTGCTCTGGCCTGGTACAGTAAGAGGAGGTGCTTACCACGAAACATGATAATAATGTGAGCAGGAGAGGCGCATTTAATGGAAATGTGAAAAAAGGAATGAGAAAAAGGACAAAAACGAGCAGCAAACCAATCTTTTTCAACTCCGTAACACATGCTGTTCCTGAGGTCTTTGCAGGCTGGTTATTGTCAGTAAATAAAAGGCAACAGGTCTGTGGGTGGCAGAAGCCTGACACGTGGTAAATAATTCAAAGGCAGAGGATCCCAGGTGTCTGCTGCATACCAGCATTTACAGACTACATCACACAGCTGCAGAGATGAAGATATTCTTTTATGTTGGGGTTTATAACAAGAGATAAGATGTAACAGGTTCTAGCTGTGAGATGACATTTGTGACAGAGTAATCTAGTCTCTGGACCTTGTAATGCCTCGTAGGGGAGTATTTTTTCAGAATTATGGAGTTTTATTTTGGGAGCTGCGACAGAGAGATTGCTCCAAGCTCTGGTGTCTTGTTTGAGAGTGTTGCTTCAAGGTTACTGCACATCAGTGAGAAGCAGGTTATAAAAATATATTACGCAAGAAGGTGCACAGAGCAGTGAGTTGACAAACAGAACTACTTTTACCATATCAGTGTAATTTAGGGTTTAGTGCCTCAGGCACTCATATCAAGTGCAATTATAAAAACACTCTCCCCTGAAGCAATGGCAAGAAGTTGATGTTAGTAACTGATTTTTAGCGAGCGAGGAAATTGATGGTGCCGTTTTCATGATCAGCCTCTGCTTTGAAACCAGCATTCAACCTTCTAACCTCTTCTCTGCTTCTAACTCTGCTTTCATTCTGGTCCGAAGGCTGATTTGCATGTCGGTAGCCTCATAATGAGCGTCTTTGAAAGCTGCAAGACTTCATTGGCATTTTGGTTCTGCGTTTGCTTGTGAATGTCTCAACAGGCTCAATTCAATCATATCAGCCATTATTCTAAGGCCTGGAGTTTACCAGTGACCACTGAGAGAATCACTGGAATTCTTTGTTTGGTGGTAGACACCAGCATGCAAGTGTGTCTTCATGATTGTGTACCTATGCATGTGTCTATAATAAAAGGGGTAATTTGATTAGGACACTGTGCACAATGTCATTTTTCAGTGTCAAGCAGAAACAGTATGTGTCTGCAGAAGTCAATATCTGAAACCTGTGAGTAACAATGCTGATGACAAAATCCTTTTATTGACACTGGTTTGATCAGAAGTTGTTTCTAATACAGTCTTTACGATCTCCAGCCTCCAAACTCAACTTTGTTAATAAAACTTTTACTGCATTATAACTCGGTTGTAATATAAAATTTTCCTCACAAGTGGCCCTTCAACACATTTACTGTACAGAAGACTGCAGGGGTCACTGCATTGTGGAGATTTAACTCTCTGCCTTCTGCCTTTTCTCATCTTTTATTATTTTCTCAGGAATCTTTATGAGCACATGCAATGTGGATGTTCGCTGGTTTCCTTTTGACATCCAGAAATGTGAGCTGAAGTTTGGCTCTTGGACGTACGATGGCTGGCTGCTGGACCTTCAAATGAATGATGCTGACCTTTCAAGCTATATACCCAATGGGGAGTGGGACCTAATGGGTGAGCAGGGCAAAATCTTTGCATTGTATCCTCATGAGACACAATCAATGACATAGTAACATGGTCAATCTCTCTCTGCCCCTGTTCCTCTAGGAGTTCCTAGCACCAGAAATGAGGTTTTCTATGGGTGCTGTAAGGAGCCATTCCCGGATGTGACGTTTGTTGTGACAATACGGCGACGAACACTCTACTACGCCCTGAACCTGCTCATCCCCTGTGTGCTGCTTTCTTCTATGACCCTGCTGATTTTTGTGCTACCAGCTGACTCTGGGGAGAAGATCTCACTGGGTGAGTGTATCAAGAAAGGTTATCAGAGATGGATTACATGTAAAAATAATAATAATACAGCAGAAGTGGGAGAAATTGGCTTGTTAGTTTAACATGTCGGTTTCTAATTTTGAGAGCGCGCCCACAATGTGGTGCAGACCAGTGTAAGCTTGAGTGGAAGTCCATCAAAAATACAACAAGGTAAACAATGTTTTTGTTTATCTTACCATCATCAGGGTGGCAACATTAACATAAACTTTTTCCCCATATTTACTCCAAAATGTACTGTGTAGGTTTTAACCATTAACAACACTATGGAGCAATGTTTATATATGATTTGTTTTCTCTTGTGTACAGGCAAATGAAGAGAATAGTTTCACAGTGTTTCACTGATCTACTGTGTATGTGGTATTATTGTTCCAAGAGGTTCTCTCAGGAAGGAAATGCACATTTTTTAGATCTCAAGCATAAACACAAAGGGGTATATTTACTACATTTTTTGGTGCTAAACAGTGAAATTGCCTGTGTTTATATTTACTAAAGAGCTGCAATCACGTTTTGTGCTGGAGAACAAAGCAGCACTGCAGGAATTTGTGTGTTTGGTCTCATGCAATATGTATTTTAAGGTGTTCCCTGTTCAGGAATGCAAAAATCAGGGAGCAGAGAATGAAAATTTATACAAAAAATCTCAGTGCCCGATTTACCACAGCCGTGACAGAGGGAACTGTGGCTGAAATTTAACATCAGGAGTAAGCATTTGTGGCCCTGCTCTCAATGTGGCATCTGTTAGTCAACGGAGGGTTAGGAACATGTTGGGTGTTTGTAAATCGCTTTGCACGCTAGAGGAGAATGTGAGGGACTTTTACAGGCTTTCAGATCAAACTATGCTTCAGTTACTAAACAAAACAAAAGATAATGTTTGTTGTTTCCTTCAACCATATTAAAGTTCAGTTGCTTTAAACTTAGACCTCCTTCTATGCTGCCTCTCCTATAAGCAGAGGTATATTCAAATTAACACTGCGGTGACTGTGCTCATTTACTGTACATCATCAGTGTTGATATACCGTCTATGCCGCTAAATCGAAAAATTATGACACTGCAATATTTTGAGAACCGAACAGTAACTTGCGACAGGTTTAGCAAATAACTCCCCAAGTGTTTTAGAGAGTAACAGTGATTGTAAACAAAAACAAATAAAGCAATTTACATCTGTGAAATCTGTGATGGTCTACTGACTACCTTCCATTGGTCAGTGTAATGCACATAAACAAATCTCATGTTCCAGGTGTAAACCTACAAGAATCTATCATTACCGTCTCAGACAGAGCCTTCACAACAAGCAAATCTTCCTAGAATAAAGGCCAAAAAATGGAGTAGTACTTAAGAATAAGGGGAGGCAACGGGAGAGGATGTGAAACTAACAGAGGACAGGGATTACAGGATGAAATAGATGAGAAAGGAGGCGGATGGGTGTGGGAAGGTAGCGAAAAGGGAATGCAGACAGGAGAAGAATTTAAAACGGATAAGAGATGACAGCGTAAAAGAGAGAGGGAGGAGTGATGAGGAGGAAATGGTGGGAGACAACCAAATCACACTATGAGACAGGAAGAGAGAGATGGCAGCTACAAATCTTTAATATCTGTTTCAACTTGTTTAGTGATTAACGATGCTCACCTTACCAGGACAATAAAGACTCACCAAAACATGTAGACAGATGCTTAAGTCTATTCTCGCCTTCTCATAAGTCTGAGAGGGAGCCAGCAGGAACTCAGAGGGCGGCAGCGGCACCATTGCCAAAGCATATCCTTAACCTCAGTACAAGATGCATTTTGCAGTATTTCTCTACAAACAAAAATGCCAAGTCGTACACACATGGCCAATTAACCTATTGATATAATTAAGGCTACTGAATTGATCAGGGGGACAGAGTGTACACACGGCCTTCCTGGAAAATACTCTTGTCATTGCCCACGATGGAAGAGACACAGGGATCTTTAAGAGTTAGTCATTTCTAAGAAGAAAAACTACATAAAGGAAGTACTTTAAATTTTCTTAATATCCTTAAAGGGCATTCATATTTTATCTCTCAGCCTAGGAGTTTAACTGAATGCTTCTTACAGTAATGGGGACAGTTATAGCAGCAAAGCACTCTTCAAATTCTGTTGCTGAAATAAGACAATGTGGAGGCAGATAAATGAAGATGGAGGTAGGAGTGTTTATGAGGGGTGTGTTAACATGCGCCCATGCAAGCGGAGTTTCAACACCTTAAAAAATGTCTATTTGTGTGCCGGAGTGCTTTTTGCTGTAGAGGTATAGAATGTCAAAAAGTTATTCACTGCATGAGCATTAGTTGGACATTTTACATAAATCCAACTTGATCTCATCCGGAGAGTGATCATTTATCAGAAAGCCAAAAACACTAATGCAGTTTCTCACAAGAAAGCACCATGATGCAGGGGAGGAGATTAAACAAAATACATCTCCACCATGAAGTTCTCATCTCTAATCTAACTATCTGCAGGTATCACCGTCTTGCTGTCTCTCACTGTTTTCATGTTGCTGGTTGCAGAGATCATGCCAGCCACATCTGACTCCGTTCCTCTCATTGGTATGTAACAGACAGTATTTTCTATGCATTTTCAAGAGCGCTTACATGGCCCTTCATGAGCAAGTTGTTTAAGATGGACTGACCCTCAATTTAAACCTACTGATATAACAACATTTAGTGATTGTTAATATAAAATGAAGAAGCTTTACTTATTAGAGATACCTCATTACGTTTCCTTCTGACAGTGACAATCAACATCTGGTTAGTGTTCTTCTTCTTAGTAGTAATACCTAGTGGTGCACAGTAGGAACTTGCTTCTGGATGGACTCTAGTGGGTTACAGTCAAGTCAGGTTTATTTTCAGTATATATCAACAAAATTAAGAGTCTGCCATGCCAGCAGCTCTGTGAGGCTGCACTGCTAACATCAGCATGCTAACATGCTCACAAAGACAAGGCTGATAAGCTGATGTTTGGTAGGTAAAATGTCTGCCATGTTCTCTGCTGTAGTTTAGTGTTACCATGCTACCAATTGCTAATTTGCAATAAACAAAACACAGCTGAGACTGATTGGAATGTGATTAGTTTTGCAGATGTTTGGTCTTGAACCGAATAAAAAAATCAAATAAAGCTTTTGACCTAAATGATCGCGCTAGATGAAAGTCAGGGGATCAGCAAAGTTACTAGCATTCTTCTTTTGGGTCTGGTTTGTCTGTGAAAGTTTTCATGTCAATCCATCCAATATTTGTTGAGATATTTCAGTCTGTATCAAAGTGATGGAACGACTATGGAGCCAGCTGCCAGCATCAAGTCTGTCATAGAGGTCATTACAATCTATTAAGTTTGTCCCCAGACTATGAATTGAGATGGGAAAAACCTACACAAAATAAAAGTTACAAATACACAACTGCAACATACCAAGTATAACAAAGCAGTAAAGCTACAAAATGCCAAACGCATAGCAACAGAATTTATTTTAACCATCTGCTCACTTAAAATTTAACTGGCTAAATTCCTTGCAGGCACACTGCTGGAAATTATGTTTAGTGGGCTAAGATTGCAACAGAAGACAGATGCAAGGTCATCTTTGCCCAAATACACAAATCCTATTCATTAAAAACTTGAGGAAAAAAGCCTGGTCCTAATAATCAAAGTGTTGCTTTTAGCATAAATGAAAAAATAAATAAGAATAACTACCCTGGCACAGTCTTGAAGTATTTGATGATTTTGCAGTGTTGCAATGAGCCGGCATTTGTAGCAGAATCCAAAGTGACATGGAGGTACACTGTCTAACAAAGTGTTCACCTTGAATAAAACAGGAACGAAACTGAGAGAAAATATTCCTCTTTAGAATCTTGTGAACACATCTCTGTGAAATAACCAAAGGAGCTCACCTCACTGACCTTGAAGTGCTTGAAATAGTTGTAAAGTATTATATAAACCACATGTAAATTTTCAGTTGTACTGGTGAATAAACTGTGAGAGTGGTAAATTTGTCGCCTTTGGTTTTTCACAGTGAAGTGGGAAATTACACCGTGTATGAAATGACTTAAAAATGAAAGGTGACACTGCTCTATACTCGACTCCACTCAGGTCAGTACTTTGCCAGTATAATGATCATCGTTGGGATGTCGGTCATCGCTACAGTGGTGGTTTTGCAGTATCACCACCATGACCCAAATGGAGGAAACATGCCTAAATGGGTGAGCTCCCACTGTTCATAACCTCAAGTGCATTATCAGCTATACACATCATTGTTAGGCCTTGTAAATGGCTGGCCCCCCTCTTCAGATATGATACATCCCTTTTATTAATCTCCATTTCAGTGTTAGCATGACTGCTCTGCTCTGCCATTAACAATCACTACTCATCCATCTATTAGTGCTACCTGTTATCCTCTACCAGTTTCCTTTTCTTTTTATTCTCTGCCTTCCTCAGCTGACATGTCGGTCTGCCTGAGTGTGTTCATCAAATGCCTCGCCACAGAGTTCAACTGGAATGTGTTTCAGATCACTCTGGATATATGGCAGGATTCATTTTGACTCATTCCCTCTTCCTATTTTTCTTGCCTTCTGTTTAATGCTAAAAATGCATCAAGTCTTTTTAACTACAGTTTTGATCAAACATAAATAATTCAGGTATTGTGGAAAAAAGGATTCAAAATAATGGTGCAAAATATAAAAATGATTTGGAACTGGTTAGGGAAATCACAGTTTTAAAAATTACTCATGACTAACACGAGCTTTTTCTTAATATTTATGGAATATCAGTCAACAAACTGATGTATTATTTAGTGATTTATGTTTGAACTGGAGAGAAAAAGTCACATGTCTACATTTATCAGTATATGTATATCAGTATATTATCATGCCCAACTGCATGATAGCGCAGATGCACTACTGTATATATCAACACATTGCAAGAATGCTCTGTTGATGAATGGCCTGTTCAGACAGTCCAATGGCCAATTAAGAAGCTAACTGATGTGGTTCAGATGGGGGCATCGAACCAGCACAGCTCATAATTGCAGTTCAGACAAAAACAACATCAACAGCAGCAACAAGAGGGACTGTTACCTGGCCAGTAAACACACTCAGTGGAGACTAACTGAGCAGTCATCTAGACATTAGCTTGTTTTTCCATGCCAGACACCCATCTGGATGCTGTTGGGCAAATATGCCCTTTCTGAGATAGGTAGTTTGGTCCAAGGTAGTTTGTGTCCAATGAAGAAAAGGAAAGAAAAGGAGAGGATCCTCATTGTAGGATCAATAAAGTACCTACTCTACTCTAAAGTAAAAGGGAGGAGAGGAGAGAAGACAAGGTGAAGGGAGGAAAGGAGAGGAGACGAGCAGTGGAGAGGACAAAATAGAGTAAGATTTAAATCTGTACTAACTTGCAAGCAGCTAATCTTCCCTTAATGCTGCAGTTTACTGCAAAAATCACTGTAAACACATTACAATCATAAACCAGTCATCTGATAGTCAATCGCCATAATTACACAGCTTGAATTTAAAGCTGCCCTTGTAAGTATCAACTCTGATAAGAATCCAGTTAAAGCAAAAAAATAAAAAAAATAAAAATCTTTGCCTCAGGTGCTTTGCTGGTGTTCATGGCGGATCTCATACCTCTTCTTATAAAAGTGCAGCTGCCCTTCGAAGCAAAACATAAAGTTGGAAATAGCGCCGTCAATATGCAGTGAGGCTATTGGTCCATTTTAACTGGTGTTACATGAAGGTCAAGATGTGTACATGGTCTTCAATGCCTGGTGGCTCTCAGTGCTTTACATCCTTCTTGTATTTTCTTTAGTTCCTCATAGCTTTTATGCTCTCTCGCTTTGCCCTGTCCTGCACTACTATTTCTACACTTATCTTTCCCTCCTCTTCTCTCTACAGGTGCAGGTCGTCTTGCTGCAGTGGGTAGCATGGTTCTTGCGTATGAAGCGTCCAGGAGAGAATGATGACCCAGAGCGGCCACCGTGTGCCCCCCACCTGCGACGCTGCTCCTCAGGCTCCCAGAGTGGGAGCATCCCCAACCCTCCGGACCCCACCCTTCATCCACTGCAACCACAGAACCTGGTCCCTCTCCACATGGGGCACACTCACCTCCACACTCAGTCCAGTACTAACAACAACAAGAACCTTCTTTACATGGGCTTCCAAAGCATGGATGACCCTTCAGTGCTCTCAGAACCTGTCCAGAGGAATAACACTGCGGAGGGGGCTTTGCGAGTCGCAGGAAGCCCGCCTCCACACCTGCCATCTCAGTTCTGCAGCTCCCCACCACCTCCAATCCCTAATTTGGATACAGTAGGCTGTCCTAGCACTGTCTCCAGTGGTGGGGGCTTTGGAGGTGGACCCGGAGGACTCGGTGGATGCTCGGCTGCTGGGATAGGAGACCCCCAACTACAGGCTATCCTGGAAGAGGTGCGTTATATGGCAGACCGTTTCCGGGAGCAGGACGAGGCTGAGAGCATGGCTGACCAGTGGAAATTTGCAGGTGCTGTAATCGACCGTCTTTGTCTGGTGGCGTTCAGTGTTTTCAACATCATATGCACCATCTCTATCCTCATGTCAGCTCCCAACTTTGTGGAGGCTATTTCAAAGGACTTTGTTTGAAAGCAAAGAGTGAAAGAGGGGAAGAGACGCATGAAGAAACAGATGAGGGAAATTAAATATAAGATGAAGGATGGAATGGGCCTGGATCCAAAAAAACAAACAATCAAACAAAAAAAAAACTATTTCCATCAGACTGAAGGCTGTGATTTGTGATCGGAAAGAACTGGGAAATAGAAAAAACACAAATGGTTTTCTTTGCAATACATTCTGCTTTGCAAGTGAAATATAAGAAAAAAACAGATGAGGAAGAGGAAACAGAGCAAAGTTAAAATGAGATTAGGAGCAGTGTGCTTTATTAAATTCTTGAAGGTGAAATGGATTGTGGCTGATTCAATTAGGAGAAAGATGAATCAGAAATAAAATTAAAAATATCAGTCCAATGCAACCTTGAGTAAGAAGAGAGTGAGAAAGGGGGAAAGAGACAGACAGATAACACAGGAATTGATAAATAAGAGACACTTGGCTGTTTGATATTCTTGAGGAGAGAAGCAGCCAAGTGTCTCCCACATGTTGAGAAAAGACTATTGTTAAAAGTGATTTGACGAGGACAGGTCCAGGAAGTAGAAATAGAGACTTTTACAAGGACAGACAACAAAGAACTGTAATAAAGGAGTGAGACTTCATCCCTTAAGACACTGGCATTTAGTCACAGCAAGCAGCCTGATGCTCAGATACCCAAAAGCAGACACAGGTCAAGAAGGCTGCAGCAGAGAGGAACAAACGAGGATCTCATCTAATTTTCAGTCACATCCATTTAATGGCTGTCAATTTAAAAGACCCAAAATAATCCTTAAGACTAATAAGCTTTTCAAAGACGAAGTCCCCTCTCTGATCGCAACCCACTGTAAGTTTCCAAGATCCTCTCTCTTTGAAACGACTGCCATTCTGCAACAATCAGCAGAGACAAAAGCTCCTCAGCAGCAGACACACTGTGCAGTGTTTATCATGACAGGGAAACTGAACTAATGGGTCATCACCAACGCAGTGGCCAGTAGCTGCACCCCAGTGGAGGCTTGATCCAATAATAACTCATAAAGTCACCTAAGTGTAGCTGACAGGTCCTAATAGTCCAACAGATCGTATTGGATTTCATATTAAAGGTTTTATAGGTGAAATGGGAGGTCAGCTCCTTAAAAGAACAGCAGAGGCACAAACAGGGACATGATCGCTCAAAATCCTAAAAAGATTCTTACGGAGAAATGACATCCTATCAGCTTTCTGTCAGATCCATTCAGGGATTTACACCTTCATGAGTGATTTAACACATCTAAAATGAAAGATGAGAGTTTATTAGACCCCTGTTTTCATTAAACTGACTCTATAATAAAGCGAAGATTTCTAGGTTTAAATTTAGACTATGACCTGAAGCCAGAAATCATTGATGGCTATATGTTAAATGAGTATAGCGCTGAGGAAACTGAATTTTATCTTCTACTTACCAAAAGTCAGACATGACTTTCTTGTGTCTTTGCTAGCACTGTGAGTCTGCGCCTAACGTTAGCTTAGCCTAGCTAATCTCACTTCATGGATGTCCAGTGGTTCAAATGGCAGCCCCTATTAAATTTAAGGAACTTCAAACAATGGCTGCTTGACCAAAGTACAAGTTGTATTATGCATAAGCATAGAGTAAACACCTGAGTGTCTATTATATAAGGAATTGTGAAAGAGGGAGTGATTATACACACACTCGAAGATTATAAAAAAAAAAGCATGAGTCATTCAAAATAGCTAGAAGTAACAGAAAGTGCACCTTTAACAACTGTCCTTGTTACGCTTCAGCACAGATAATTTCTGCAGCTGCCAGTGGCCCACTGATTCCAAGATATTGTCTTTTTATAATGGTTTCTATGTGAATATGGTACATAGCCATTGATAATAAAAGGATAAAGGTGTTGTTTTTATAGATTTATTTAACTATCAACAAATCCCACAAAAGGAGCTAGACCTGTAATACATTAATGTCCATCTCTCGGTGCTTCCTTCCGCTGGGAAACAGAGGCCCATGTCCATTTGCTCATAATGAGGATGTAATCCTTAAAATCCTTTAAAAAAATCAGTTAAAAGTATAGTTTCATTGTATTTCTAAAAATAAGCCTACACAGATTCCAAAAAGCTGTAGTTCTTTACAAACATTACTCAAACAGGAACACAGAGTGTGTTTGTTTGGGATTATACTCCACTGTGGATTAATACACATTCAGTGCTGTAGTATTTGTAGCAACAGAATGACTCTAAATACAGTGCCCTTTTTATTGTGATTAAAGAACATTTCACCCATTGCAACAATGGGGCACCCAGATGTGTTTTTAATCATTTCTGAAAACAGCAGAGGTCTATGACACAGAGGAAATGGTATATTAGACTGTAGCTACACAGACAATACTTGTTAATTGGATATATACGTTGTCAGTTTTGGTATTTTCATGGGAATTGATGACAATAAGAGAACTACAGAATATCAGCAGCCTTATCTTTTAAAGTTTTAGTTGAGGTTAGCATTTGAACAGAGAACCAGAAAGATAAAATATGTTTATTGCCTTCCTGCCCTACGCTGTCTGTCTCTAAATCTGGCTATACACACGCCTTCTCTCCCTGTGAACTGCTACACAAAGCATAGAGATGGTTGTACAAATACCTTATCCCTAAACCTCTCTTCATCCTCTGACTTCCTCTCTAAAGTCAAGTCCCCTAACTAGAAATAAACTTCCTGCTGCTGGGTTTGCAGAAGGATCCAGTCCTTTCAACACATACTAACACCTAAACACTCACATCTGTACAGAGCATTTCTCATCCTGAAAATAAAGGATTCTCTCTGTTTTGCTACCACCTTTGTTCTGCTCTCTCTCTCACTGTGTTAACAATAGTTGGCCCTGGCCTGACACCCAAAAAGAACAGAATAATGTCAGAGCGAGGAGATAAGAGGAGAGAAAGTGCTGACGCACAGTTAGAGCTGGACAGGGCCTTAATTGATCACTCGTTCAGGATAGAGAGGAAGGGAGGGTTAATGGAGGAAACCGGGGAGCATTCTGGGTAATTCACAAGATTTATCAAGGATGGAGACGGGGAGATGGTCCTCTGACACCCATAACTCAGTCATAGATATAAACAAAAGGCCACCGCAATATATTGCACCATACGAGTATAAATATGCACAATGGAAATGAACAAAGTTTAGAGACATATTTTCATGCAACCTTTTTTCCCATCAAGTATGGAGGATGTGGGTTGGTTTGTGGCCTTCACTGTGTCATTAAGTCAGTGTCAGACTGAGTAGAGTCGAAGGTGTATTTACAGTAGAGTGCTGGTCTTTACTCAGTCCAGGCAAAGGCTCCGTCTGACAGGCTAACCCTCTTTCTCTCTGAGGTCGAAAAATGTGCAGTGCTAGCAGTACTTAGATTTACTGTGTTCACTCAGATGGAATAAAAGAAAAGAGAGAGAGAGGGAGAACATGTGCGAAGACTGAGCGTGTGTGTGTGCCTGTAGGGAGGATGAGACTTGGGATTTGCGTATGCACATATCAATCAGTTGTTGTTTGTTTTCTCTCCTCCTTTTCTCAATTAATGAGCGCTGACCAAAAGCTTTCACCCAGGTCGCAGATATTTTACCAGATGAGAAATTCATCTGAACCTCATTGGGGGCACATTAGGTCTTACACAGCTCGAAGACTGTATAAATGGGTTGGTGATATGTAAGTTAAGAAGATGCAATCACTGCAAACTATACTAACAAACCAGAAAGAAATGTCCAAGTTAACCTCAAAAAAAGACTAAACGCACTAGGGAAAAAACTTCATGAGGCAAATGCACTGCATTAACACACATTAATTAATTACATACATGAAACATCTGCACAACACATGAACTATAAACATGTACAGTGCATGCACCCAGGCCACGTGCATGGACACCTGTTCTATCTAAGGCTCCCAGTGTGCTGTGCAGCACGACTGAATCTCAGCGGCTTGCAGCTGAGACTGATCAATGCCTTTTAATTACCAAAAGCCCAAAGTACTGGTCGATACAGCTGACAAGAATAAGAGGGAGAGAGATGCTTCAGACAGTGATTGATGCTCAATCCTCCCAGCCAACCTACCAACAGATGTGTCTTTATGCTTGATTAATCCAGCCAAGCCACATTCACTCATTTTACAGAGCACTGTTTAACCAACGCAAACTGCTGCGGTCACAAGGTTAAGTGGATACGAGGTGTCCACCCTGAGCAAAATGGGCTTTTAATAAATAATAAAATAAGTCAAGTGTGGCTAGGTATGCTGACTGAGATCTTACCCGACTGGTGGAAGATATCAGCGTAAATAAAATGCATCCAACATACCAATGTAAACTATGACTAACTTCAGTCATGAAGTTCCTTACAAATAATGACAACTCAATTACCTACAAAACCTGGCAAAGGGATAAACTGTAATTAAAAAGGCATTTTACTCAATTTCCAACTCAAGGGGATCAATAAGGTTTTGTGTGCGTCACTTGCACTGCAAATAATAAACCAAGACATCTGTTTCACGACAGCTGAGCTGTTATACAGTATGTGCTTCAGTGTCATGTGATGGATCTTCCTAATAAAATGTAGTGAGATTGGACTTACAATGCAGCCTGCCTCAACAAGACACTGATGATTTTAGACAGGTTAATTTCCACACCTTTATACTGTAGAGCCATGATAAATCATATCATCAAAAATCTTAACTAACACATTTAACGATGAAAGAAAAACACCACACAAGCTGTAGGCATGTATCATCAGGTAGAGTGAAAATGCACTGTATTCAAAAAGTGCTTCTAATTAATATTAAGCATCACATGGCACTTAAATCTTTTCATGCCCAACTACAGTCTGTGGGACATACTGTATTTATAAACCATTTTAGCTGCACATCTCTGGAAAATGTTGCAATTCAGTGCAACTCAGGTGCAAAAAAAAGAAAAAGGCAGATAAAGACCAACACAGCTGTGTAAAACTGACAGTGGCATATTGGAGACACTCCCAAATTGTTTTCACTGAAGCTTCATCATAAGTAAAGATTAAGTGGACTTATTACAGTTTGCCTCAGGTAAGCAGCCCCCCTGGAGGTCTGGGGACGATTCCACAGTTAAAAATCAGTCAGCTGCTCAGAGAAGCGCACTTACTGAAGCAGCAGAGGTTTGATTTGGCGATTTGCAGGACAAAAGACATTTAGAAATCTAACCACATAAAAATTGGTCAAAAGGTTTGTAAAGCACTAATTATATGTAAACATAACATCTAAAAACTCATTTGTTCATGCATGTTTAGCCCAGTTGACTTGGGTATAACTGGAATCAAATCTAATAGGAAATTTTATACTACCTAAGGTAGAAATGCTGTGGTTACTGTAGGGTTACTAAACGACTACAGCTGCTGCAAACGTTGGCTACAGACACTTCTTAGTATTAAGTACACAAGTTGAATGTATCAGTTTATAGGCCCTTAATGAGGACTAATGAGTCAATATTCAAATATGACAGGGTATCAACACTGGAGAGCTTAAAATTCTACCTTCTCTCTGAGTTGGACATGAACAGGAAAGTGAGGACAGGCGGTGAGGTTTGAGAGGCAGCCGGCAATTGGCATATAGTGCCCATATGAGACAGCTCTAACGAGATGAGCATTTTCACCTCAGCACATTTTATGCGCTTGGTTGCACAGTGTGTGTTAAGAGGCACAGTGGTTTTTGGTTTCAAAATGGCCTCACCTCAATATCCCAGCACTTCCCCATAGACTGCAACAGCTCCTGTTGAGAGTGAACAACACAACAATCTGTGCAGGATGTGACCATCAAAATGTCACTTCTCCCATGCCTCTGCCAGAATAATGTGCCTGCTGACCTTTGATTGGTGACCATGCTCCCGGCCAAGGGACCTGTTAGGCACTGTACATCACTCTTCCCTTTCCTACAGAGCTGGGGCTGTTTACAGGCAGAAAAATATGAAATATTAAAAAGGCTGGATAATAATCGGTGAATGCTAACTAGTGTCTACTCATCCAGCCTTTCTTTGGTCGACTGTCATTTGTTTACTTCCAAAAAGGCAGTGACACTTACTTACTTACGTACTTTTCCATTTATCTTAGATCTCTTCAAACTACTTAAACTGGAATAAGGAATGTTTCCTGCCAGGAAACTGTCACACCTGATCCTTGTCACAATCAGGTTGTACAGTGCAGTTAGAAGTGCTGAGAAAAACAAACATCACTTTCCAGTTGGCCTCAGCCTCATACCTTGTCATTCTGTACCAAATAATTATGCTCCTAAGTTAAGATTTGCCACCAAGTCAATATGAAATATATTTGCATAAATGCCTCCCACACATGCACATATTGCAGGACTCATTTCTCCTGAAAGGAGGCAGTCAAACACATTCTGACCTCTTCAAATTTAAGCTTATAAGGAGCACTTGCCCAAGCAAGTAATTGGTCCCAAATGAGCTTTATCACATTGTCTTTATAAGAGACCAACCTTGACAGTGGGTCCAGGTCCCACTGGACAGAGAATTCATACATTAACACAACCTCAGTGTTTTTATATTTTAACAGCTGGTTTAAAAAAAAAAAAAAAGCCTCCTTAACTCTAGTTCACATTTTAGCCAACAAAGAAAACAGTTCATTTTATATCCCGACACGGCAAATAAATGCAGACTAACAGGATTTTTTTCAATATATAACTTTATTTAAAATATTGTTACAATTTATTACTCTACACAACATTTCCAAAGCTTTGTTCATTTTTCGTATATTGGTTAGTAAACTGCCTGATTTTTTTTAAGCTATAAAAGTTCCCATTTTGTAGCTTAGTTCTACATCAGGTGTTAGTTGACGTCTTCAGGCGCTTAGCAAATGCAACACTGCTTCTCTTTTCAACAATTTGTTTCTAATCCCCCATACAGCTGCCCCCCCCCCCCACAAAAAAGTAATGATTGACGGTGGCTTTGCACACTATCATTTCCCCAATCTTTATAATTTTTGTTTAAATAAATAAAAGTTTATCTGGAAAAACAAGAGTGCATTTTGTCCAAAGGATATTCTTTTACATTTTAAAACAATTATTTACAGATTATGCTGAAAACAAACAAACAAACAAGGCCTATGTTTTTAATTAACGTTGCTGCTTGCTTGCTGTGGAAAAGCCCTGTGTTTAAAAGCATTGAACTGAAATGAATTACACAAAGGCTAACACTTTTAAACAGCACTTGCATCCACCCTTTATGTTAGTCACAGGTAGAACACAACAGCTGAAATGAGAAGCCAGCAGCTAATGCCCTCCGAGCTGAGTGTGCATTCCAGAGGTCGATGAACACCAAGTCTACACAAAATTGCTGATGAGACCAAAGCAGCAGCTCTGACTCAATCAAGTGTCAAAGGGAAGAGACTGACTGAGCAGCTACTGGAGTCTGAGCCTTGTGCCATAGAAGTCAAACAAACAGAAAAGATCTTATACACTACCTGCCGATGAGTGAAAATCAGTACTGATTTAGCTCACAAGACTTAGAAAACTGTAAAAACTGTTACTATAGCAACTGCATCATACCGTTGATCATTTCAGTGGTGGTTGTGATGAACACAAACTGAGTCTTGTGCACTCTACACATAAACATGTTAATTTTTTTAATTCTGCTGTCACCATGTTTGTTGTAGCACCACTGTTCTTTTTTTTTTTTTTTTTAGCTCTAAATCCCTGTGTGAAATTCAATGCTCATGTCATTACAAACTGTCCAGCATCTGAAACACAAACACAGGTCCACAGTACAGCATACACTGACAAACAAAAATGCAGGCCAACACCACAGAGACCTGCTTCTTGACATTCCTGTCATTTCTCTGCTTTTACCTAAATGTCATTTCTGCCATTTACCTCACTGACACCCAAAACAGACGACAACGGACAGAGCGCACATCTGCCTGTGATGAACACTGAACACTGATGACACCTTGCGCAGATGAGACAAACGGAAACACAAAAAACAGCAGCTTTCTAAAAGCCTATTCACAGCAGCACAAGCCACGGGGACACAGAACAAACACCAAAGAGTAAAAAACACTGCTTTGAATACATTATTGGGAGAAGCAAGTTAGCTGTCTGACAGGAATAATAGAAGAACAGAGGCACCACTGAGCATGTTGAGCCAACTTGGTGCTGCCACGGCAACCACATCCCCCTATGAAGTTGTGAGACCAACCTGGAAAGAGTAAGAGCAGAGGACTGACAAGCCAACACAAGCGTACACACACACACACACACACACACACACACACACACACACACACACACAAAATCTCCATCTGTCTCTCCCTCTACATTTAAAAAAATAATAAAAAAAATAACCATCATGGTTGAACAGCTCCAATCCATCTCTAAATTGGCTATTACTTTGGCTGTCACAATGACCTTCCAACAGTCTTCCCATTGCAGCCTCTATCTTTTGTGTGTATATTTAAAACACACAGTATGCTACTACAGTGTGGTATGAATTGCTGTAGATTGTTGTATAACCAAGGTCTGCCCTCAGAGGCAACAACAAATAAGATACCTTGCATTGTTGCCCTTAATTTTGTAAAGTTACAAAGAGTAGCAGAGAGACAGGTGTGTGTATGTTATGCTGATAAAGCCTGTGAATGGTTATGAATGTTAGCTAGACAACAGAGGGACAGCTCCCATTTGTCTCCATCTGTCTAGCGTCTCCGCTGTCAAACGAATACAAAACCCCATCTTCATTTTCTGGCTCTCACACCAACAGCTCATCAGACACGTCTAATCTGAGCCTAAACCTAATCAGCAATGTCAATGATAAACATAGAGGACACACACGAGCATGTTTCAAGTGACTGAAAGCAAATTATGACTAAACCTAGGCATGAAATACACATTTTTATCAAACTGTAAGCTGAGCCCAACCATTTAAAAAAAAAAAAAATCATTAAAGTTTAACTAGTACACTAAAGGTCAGTATGAATAAAAAAATAAATAAATAAAAACAGATTCAGGTTTTTGGTAGCGGCAAAAAAACAACTAAAAGGACAAGAATAAGTTGGCAATCAGTCGACAAACTACTAGCCCTTGGCAGGATAAACAAAACTTTAGACAAAACTAGTACATTTATGCATCCCATCTCTATTCAGATAGAATTTTTTTTAAATCAACATGCAAGCCTGCTTTTTACACACTTTAAGACAGATGTTTTGAACCCATCACCATTGTGCGAAATGCTGCTTAAAGACCAAAACTGTGTAAATAACTATGCATCAGGTAATGCTGTAGTCATTTAGGCGCAATGAGAGGCATACAGCTGTCTTTATTCCTGTATACGGTATGTTAACGACTGTGGTTGTAGTTACACAGCTTCATTCACCATCTATGCCATGTACAACACACACACACACACACTTGCCCATCTGTCCTCCTGACACAGTTAACAGACAGGCTGCAGAGCAGTAATACTTCGGTGAGTTACAGAGCCCAAGGGGATCACTCTTTAAGAAGCTCTGTAGAAAATTGATTTCTGCTCCAAACCTACTGTTATGCTACATCTCTTATACTCTGCTGCCTCCTGCTGCCCGTTCAGAAAACTGCAGATCAACAGACCCGCACTCAAAAACGCTCTTCTCCCATCTGCATATTCATAATCTGTCGGTCAGATTCCCTGTGTAGAATGTGACATTTCATAACCATCAATTATTTGTTCAAGTACTCGTCCCTGCACAGCAATGAGAAAGCACCTTCCTTTCAGCTTCTAAGCTCTGCACAATCACCACAAGCAAATACTTGCGAGGAGGATAAATACCCAGACAAACATCGTTTTGAATAGTGTGGGTTACACCAGAAGACAAGGTGAAAAATGGAGACGAGTTAGACCAGCCTGAATGCAATTCAGTTAGTGTTCCACTATGTTAGATCAAGAAACCAATTGTTATAGGTGTTATATTAATCTATATTTTATCAGAAGACACTGTTAAACATACACATAATTATGAACATGTGCCCTCACATCAGTTTTCAGATAATTACATTTGTGTCACTTATGTTTTCTGACAGAATATCTGAGCTCACAGATAGAAAATATTTTTCTGTTTATGCCCACCATCAGTGTAAAGTGTGAATCTTCTCTCTTCATCACCAACTGTGAAAGAAGTGAAAATCCCATTTTTCTGTGTTCCTCCCATATTTTCATCTCAATCATTCTCCGTCAGCTTCAGATCAAGCTTCAGACCAAGTCGATCATCACAATCCCATCCTGGGTGTCGGCTCCCTCGTCACGTGGTGTTGCATCAAGGTGCTCCTTTTGTGCAGATGGTGCCACAGAGCTGTTGTAACCACCAAGTCACACACTGTATGCATCTGTTAGATCTCAACCAGTGGCAAGAAGGTGCACATGTCCTGCCCACATCACAGGGCGGATGCATGGAGGAAATCAACAGATATGCTATGGAGATCTAGTAAATGACATGAAAGTTGGCTTCCATTATTTTCTTTCACTGGTCTTCTTGCTGTGCGTATCCCTGGGCTTGGCTAAATGTGACTATTCCAAATTGGTCACTTTCAGTTTGTTTTCGGGGCATGGGCCACCTTAGCCTGTCACTCAGTTCTGTGTTTTTCGATGGGCGCTCTCTGGGGTGGCTGTGATGATGCAAGTGGACCAGTTCTAGTTTGAACAATGACCAAGGGTTTTAGGAAGTTGCAATCTCCCCCCCTAGGTGGCGCCATCCCTTCTGCTGTGTCTCCAGAGGAGGCAGATACTCTGGAACACAGAGAGACAGCTCAGGGAACAAGTCTGAATGATGGGCTTTTTGCACACATCATGTGACTTATGAAAATGTTGACAAAGAAGTCAGTGTATCTCAGCAACAGTGTCACTGGGACCCCTGAATTTCTACTTTCCCTTTGTAGCATGCCTTATGAATGGACGTTTCTTCTCAGTCATGCACTAGTTGCTCATCCACATACTGGTATAGTTTTCCCTCAACATACATTATTGTCAAGTATTGCTGCAGCTGCCTCAGAATTTCTATAAAATGTCTTGACAACTCTGCATAGGGGCTTTTAATTCTAAATGACAAATACAGGAAGTGGATACACTTTGAGACACCTTGATTTATGTGAGAGGGAGAGGGAGAGAGAAAAAGAAAGAAGAGGGAGAACAGTAGATTCACAGAGATAACGTTAAGTTAGATTTTATAGTTTAACCTGAACTACTTTTCAGACACAATTTGTCCAAATTCCCTGGAAATTCACACCCCTTACCCCCTACTGCCTCAAAAAGTAACATTATTGCCTCGTCGTAAATCGCATGTCAAAATAAAAGGCATGACCATCCCTTTCCAATGATGCTAGCATACTTGCTAGTCTGTGACACTAACACTAATAATGTATTATGGTTTTGAAATGACATAAAATAGTCCTGACTGTGCTGGGGGATAAAAGAAAACATCTATTGATATCTACTTATTGATATCTACTAAGTCTGTTGTGCAATCAAATTTCACTTTTTAAAATATTTTTTAATTACATAAGCCTACTGATATTCACTTTGATCACTGGATACTACGTGCGGGCTCCATGTACAACAAACCCCTTTCCCCCAGCTGCTGGGAAAAAAAGAAAAAAAAAAAATCCTACAGTAAACACTGTTGTAGTGCTGGTCTTGTGCCATCTCACATAGTTTCAACTTCCCCCTTAACGTCTGGGTCTCTTAGAGACTGCTCCAACAGTAGCTCACAGGTCTATGCAGCTAAGCGTTGTTTTTTTTTTTTTTTTTTCATATTTCATAAATACACCATGTCTTCTCACAGTAATTTGATAGGACTGGAGGAGACTTTGTTCTCTGCTAAGTTGTAAAGTACATTACAAAGCTCTAGAAAACGCAACATTTTCTCTACTTCGCAGTTTCCCGTTGACTTTGTTCGGCTCCTTTTGATGCAACAGGAGCTGCACAGAGATAATAAAACAATACAAGCGTACGAACACTCCTTTCCTGGGGCCAGGGGTAATTTAATGTCACTGAACTAAAGTTACTTGTAAATTACTAAAGAATTCAATAGTTGAAATTCTCTCCCTGCCTTTGCCTTTTTAGCTTTGCCAGACATTTAGCATAATTCAATGTTTGATGGGTACTGTCATTCATTCAAAGCACCACTCAGTACCATGTCTGAATACACATTTTAATTAGGGCAAATCATAAAGAAATCTAGTCTCAGTTACCTTTTTGTACCTGCCTTCTACTGAAGAAGGCAGTTATGCTGTAATGTCGGTTTCTCAGCCATGGGAATTTTTTAAAGTTAGGAATAAACTTATTTTTGAGGTATCTTTCAAAGTGCAAAGGCTTTGTGTTATTTTTGCATTTAGAACAAAATAACCTTGTGCTCCTTACCACTGTTACTGCAGTTTTTGTTGTCTTTGTCAGATGCCTCTTCCTCAACCTGACATAAAAAAAACAAAGAAAAAATAAATCAGGACAGGAAATGTACGCAACATGTTTTTAAACAAAAGCCTGAAGAAAACATGTTATTGGCTTATTGTATTTGTTAAAAAAAAAACGCAACATGTTTAGATTTTCAAACTTGGCATCAAGTCAAGAACTTCCCATAATGAAAGAGGAAAGGAGTGGTCCTTACCTGTTTCCGCCACTTCAGCTCACAAAAGACACGTTCAAAGCACTCGTGCATGTAGTTAAACTGGGGGGGAAGCAAAAAGAATTATTCAGCCTCACAGTACACCACAACCAGCCTGCAAAGTCTCAGAGACAAGTTATGTTAGTATGATTTGTATTTCTTTCTTCTTACTACTAATTTGATTCCATGTAAAGATGTGTTGAATATTAAATCACAAGCAAACAGGTGCAAAATAAAGGAAAACCCAAAATAAAGACTCTTAGCCAGAACAGCTTCAATGCACTTTAACTGTGATTCTCAAGTCTCTGGAACTCTAAATTGGACACCATTCTTCCAAAAGATATTCTCTCAATTGGTGTTTTTCTTTTGTCACCCTTCTGTATCCATTACTTACAACAACTTTTTCATCTTAAAATTACAAACACATTCACTATAAAACTGTTAATTCTAACAAAGTGAGTACACAAATCATTTTAAAAGCCTGCAGGATGCATCAAACAGCAGCACAGGTTCATGGGCACTGACGTATGGAGTGAAGATCTTGACCCAGCGAGGTTTCTTCTCTCCTCTGGCATACTCGAAGCAGAAAGCCATGCCCTCCTCGTCAGTGTCCCACCGCTGCATCTCCCCCCACTCAAAAGCAATCACCTGGTTCTGAGGGAGGCAGAATTGACAGCAGGTAAGCCTTGTGCATTAGCTTAACCCGTTTGATTCTCAACTCGATATTTGGGAAAATTATACAAATTATGTTATTATGTATGTTACAGCCAAAAGTGTGTATCATGGAACAATCATTACATTAAAATAATATATCCATACTTTTACCAAATGGTAAAAAGCAAACTGCCTGTCTCAAACAGTGATAAGCTGGATTTTCTACTCGTACTGAATTTCCACACTCACCTCCAGCGTACCATCCTCAGTGCAAGCATGCAGCTTGAAGTGACAGATGCTGATAGCGGTGATAACGTGTCCTTTCCTCCTGGAGTCGCAGGAGCAGTGGGGGAACACCACCTCATTGTAGCCCTCACATGTCCGCAACAGGCTCAGATACTAACAGACAGGTATTACAGAGCACACAATATTACTACTACTTTAAGTAAACAGATTAGGTAGATAAATGTGGTGGCAGGAGAACGGAGAAACCAAATTTACAAAAATGTAACTGTTAAGCTGTGAAAACTGGCTTAAAGTTTAACTTTCCAGTTTATTCAACAAGAAATGATGCAATAATGTTCAGTTTGAGTCAGAATTACAAATAGTTACTTCAGACATAATGATGTACCACTATGAGTAACAATTTCTCCTTTTATTGCATTATACTGAGATATCGCTAGAGCCACTGTCCTCTGTGTTTTTCAGGTAAATTTGAACCTTGGACCCTCCACGTGGTTCTTTTTTAGTCCCAGGAAACAAACCAGGTTTCTACATGAATATTTCTAAAATTTGATACTGCTTAACATTTGGAACAATCATATCACTGAAGTGCATGTCAACAAGTGTCACTTTTAAATTCCTTTATCTAAAGCTGCTCTTTAAAAGCTAGGAAATGTTAAGCTGGGTGGCTACAAAGTAATGAATGCAATTTGAATTTACATGCAAAAGTCCTCACAACGACTTTTTCAGTTAATGTTCTACAAATATTCAAATAATCTCTGTTGATACCACACAGAGTTTTATAAGTGTGAAAGGCCTTCTTCCCTTTTTGTTCACTTTTATTTGGTAATGTTTTGGAGATGCCCCCACCCCCCACCCCCCAACAAAGACTGGTCTGTGGGACTGACCGTGGCCATCTTGTGCTGCTCTGCCAGTTTCTGCAGCTGGTAGGATTTGTCCTCTGTTTTTATGAATCCCTTCTTCACATCATCCAATGCCTAGAGATTCACAATGAGGGGTGGGGGGGTGGCATGAAGAGATACAACACCATTTATCACTTGATGTCACAGAACAAAAATTACTACCCATTACAAACGTTTAGCAAAATGATCACCAATAGCTGCAATAAGCTACTGAACACACATTAAAGTGGTAATAACTGATATTTGTACTGTAATAATGTACTTAACAATGTGAAAGGGGCCACTCATAGTGACAAACCTACAGAGAATGTTCGCCTGGATATTCAGGAACTTTATAATAATTTCCAGCTCAATGCTTAGTTGTCTGATCCACAACATTACTAAGTGGTTCACTCATACTGCTTTCACAGCTTCATTTTCAGTCACAGCAGACATAGTAAACAACTAGCTGGTAAGCACAGTGGGGCATTTAGCAGCCAGACAAACCCTCAGGGGTTGGCAGTGATCAAAAACAGAGCGACCACTAGATTTACATTCACCAGGTGGTCAGAAACAACTCCATGTGAATGACAATGCTGCTCTGTAACTGCTGGATGCGTAATAGACCAAGTTATTGTAAGTTTAATTATTCAGGATAGATTTGCTTTCATGCTTGCCAGGACTGCAAGCATTAGATGTGCTGATTTTTCTAGTCGAAGTCACTGCGGTGGGTCACTGCGGAACCACACATGCCTAAAATGCTTCAGGAACCTTAACAGTTCAGCGGACAGGCTGCTATTTTTTGTGCATTTACATGAGAGGACTATTATTTTCCAGTTCACTCTTTCAGTTGTGGAATAGTTTCTCTAGCTAGTAGAATATCATTGCTCTCTGTTTCCCTGATTAAGTACAGCCTGTATGTGGATACATTTCCAAGTACTAGACCATTTGTTTTACATTCAGGATGTCATGTACAAGAGCTTCTTGTTGGTAATAGATATATTGTTTAGGACGTGGGTTAAAATTTTGGTCAAAGGTAAGAGTACATCTCTAGGTCTGGAAGAGTCACCAAAAACAGCAAGATGACAAAATTATTTGCCAAAACATTCCCAGCTGGCAAAAATTCATCTTCCAGTAAGCCAGGGTTTGTTCACGTTTATGTGAAAGCATGTTTGAAAAGTAGCCTTAGAGAACACAAAACCTTTAAATCATTATAACGTTGGTCTAATAAGTTGGGCAGTCATAAATTGCTCTGTAATCATACTGTGTTTAAATAACCTCATGGATTAATGAGTTTGTGTTTATACTAACTGAGGTAAAAGCAATTTTTTAACTGTAGAAATAATTACTATATCAAGAAATGGAAGATTCTTAGACCTGTGTAGTGTACATAGTTAAGAGTAAAAGAGTAGTTTAATAATCTTCCCTGATTATTTAAATTTCCCTTATGGGAGAAATGATTCATGAACAAAAATGCTGACTTCTACACCATACTGCAACTCAAAATTGTATGCAGACACTTGGAGAGGGGAAAAACAGAACAGAAGATCACATATTATGCTGAGTTCCTGAGTCCATGATAAGTGTGATTTGATTGTTGTTATTACCTGGTGAAAGCAGTAGTGCAAGGCCAGTGGGTTGTCTCTGAGCAACTCTTCTTCCTGAAAGCTGAACAACCATTTGTGGAGCGCCAAGCAAGTCCCTGGCACTGCTGACGTGTAGTTCTGCACATAAAGTTTGTGGGGAAACTCGTTCGGGGCCAGCTTTCGTACTGCACCAAAACAACAACAACAACAACAAAAAAAACAGAAAAGAAAGGGGTGAGGGTTGTCTGTGTCATTAAAAGATTTTATTCTAACATGTAGCAAATTACCTGCCTATACTTTTCATATCCCTGCACATACCCCTAGGATCCAATGATTTAAAACTCACCAGATGGGTGATTTAAGTCTTTAAGACAGTTTTTAAAAGTACACATGTATTCCTTCCAGATAATGTGAAAATTTTCTGTGAAACCTTTACTCACACATCAAACACACACAAGGTTCTTACCAAAGGAGTGATTGATGACTTCAAAAAGGGCAAAGTAGCTTGCCATAATACTGTCCATTCCAACCTTCAGCACTAATGCCTATAGGGGAAGCATTATAGAGTGAGTTATGTAAAAACACTGTCTGAGAGTGTCTATTGAACCAAACCAGGAGTGTTTATCTTTGAATAAAATAAAAAGCACAACTCAGACATGCAAACAATATCACAATACCCTGTACAATGCAGTTGTTTGGCAGCACCACACCAGCAGATGTCACATGGTCTTACCTGGTATACCTGGTCTGTTGTGCTGTTCTTGCGCACTCTGACAGAGATGGTGGTCTTGTCTGGCAGGGCTATCCGCAGTTCTACATCTGTCACGCCATTGTAGTTCTGCACAATGAAGCAAAACATAACAAGAACAGCTAAAGAGCTGCACTGTAGGGATGTATATATGTTGCACTGTGCTTGTATAAATGTGCATGTACTTGTTCTGCATTACTAGTTTTATTTAACCTTTATTTGAGATGAAGATCTCTTTTTTAAGGGAGACCTGGCCCAGTAAATACTTTCAGATTTTAAAAATACATCAGACAAACAAAAAACTTAAGTCAGAACTATTACAATCTGTAAGAGGACCTCCCAACTGTGTTTCTGTAAGTGCAGAATTACATCAGTAGTACTGTATTTGTTTTGCCGTTACAATTTCTTAAAACAATACCAAGGCAATGCAATTAACTACTTAACTAATTTCAGGACTGGAAGACATTCCAGCTAGCTACTTTCATACAATGAAACTTGACTACCACAGGTTTTGTTGGTTAAATAAATACATTTAGAAATGAATTACATTACATAACTGGGAAAAACATCAGATACATAATAAACAACATACTGTGGTGCTGTTCACTGTGCAGATGCCCCGGCTCACAAAAACATGTACATCAGAGAAGGTTTTGAAAGATTTGCAAAAACATTTACATTCAATGATACAACTTTACAAAGCTTAGAATCAAAAAATAATAATCTGAAAAATACAGCTACATCCTAATTTAGAATAATCAATATCAGAACAGCAATAAATAAGATGCATACCTCATCTGATTCCGAGAGAAACTCCTGCATGATGTCACTCTCCCCAATCACCCGCACAGAGCAGACTACACACAAGCACAATGTGAGATTGAGAGAAATAGTCAAGATCAAAACAAATCAAATCAACAAAAGGACAGTTAAATGTCACTTTGCCTGTAGTAGTGTTCAGATTTACAGCATCTTCCATTGGCCTATTTTCTATCCTAACTACCTGATTTCTGCACATGTACGTTAAGCTAATCCTTCTTTCGTTTTATTTTTTGTTTTATTTCTTTGCATTGTGGATTTTGGTGGTTCTAAACAGCCTGAATGTCTGACTTTGAAAATTGAGCTGTAATTCGTTGCCCATGTTACAAATTAAACACATGTGCACTTATGCACTGGTGACCTTTAGGAATCAGTCTACCTCGCTCAAGATATTCCTCCAAGCCTCTACGGCGAGCATCCAGCTGCTGTTCGGACATGGAGAAAGGCCATTTCCCAGGAAGCTTTGGGAAGTTGAAGTTGGAAAACTCCCTCTTGAGGTTCTGATGCAAGATGGCAAACTCCCGGTAGCGCTTTGAACACAGCTGCCTACCTGACATGTATACATTGTACACCTAAAGCCATTGAAACAAAAACAAAACAGCATTAGAGAAGAACAGAGTGACGAGTCTACTTCCAAAAAATGTTCGATATCATAACGGTAAAACAAACATTTTGTACTATAAAGCTATAAAACGTCTACCTATATGAGAGAAGTTGTGATGGCAGCCACAAGAAGCTGTTTCCAAAGAGAAAAAAAGGTAATGTTTCCAATCTGCAATGCACTCACCACAAACCTCTCCGAGTGCTGCTCTACATGTTTGTATGTGGGAATGGAAATGGGCACGGCCTGCTTGTCACTGTAGTCATAGTTGGGTTGGACATCCTCTCCTCCTTCCAATCCATCAGCCTCCTGAGGTGGAACAGACAGCACAGCCAGGACCAGCTCCTTCTCCCCTGCACGGATCAGGTCCACTACCTGCTTATGAGTGGCACCTTCCACGCTCACCCCATTACTGAAGGGAACATGAGAGCAACAGAAAGATGGAGAAGGAAGAGAAAGAAGGTGAATTCAGTTTTTAAAAATTTCCCCTCCACTGCTTTTTTCATGAAATCATACAGGAAAGAAACCAGTCAGTTGAGATTGTGGAAAAATCTTTTACAGTGCTTACATACTGCTGTCTTTTACTGCATATGATAATTCATACTCGGAAAGTAGAACTGAAGTGACATTCATTATAAGCTGATTAGTTTGAAACCTTGTGATTTCACCTGCATGGTTTTGCAATTTGTGACTTTGTCATATATTTCATCATTGACGATTTCTTAGCAATTGTGTTAAAATATCTTCTTGTCCCGTGAATCCAATATTGCGTATCATCTAATCTCGTGAGCCAAGTGTATTGTCACACCCCTAGTGAGTGATCACTTCTATAAAAGGTAACCTGAAGCCAGGCTGTGGTACTAAAAAGGAGCTGTTGGTCTGCTGTGACTAAATGATTGCAACTGATCATGGACACACTGAATTTTATCACTGATAAAGTGCAGATAGCTCACATCACAACTGATAGCTGACCCATTTAATGAGGCATAGCATTTTAGCAATATGCAAATATGTTTCCTGAATGCTGTCCTATGTGTGGTATTGTCATTGTTTTTTTTTCTTCATTGATAAACAAAGTGTTTGGGGTGCTGAGTAACCAGGTCAGCTCTAATGTCTTCATTTCCTTTGGTGCTGTGAGATACCTCCCTTCCTGGCTTTGCTGAGGCCAGATGGCACCAGCATCAGGTGTCTGCCAATCTTACTATGTGAAACAGTAGGACAGGCACATGGAAGGAGGTAGCAAACATAGGTCTGTCCACTATGACACATCTCCATTGGAGCTCACAATCATGTAACTGTCTAATATAATAGATAGGCAACAAATGTGCGTGCAGTGAAAAGTAAAGTAAACAACATGAGATGAGGAGAGAAGGACTATTGTGGGAATGGATGTTGACATGACAGCATTCCTCTGGGTTGCTGAACTGAAAAGCAAAACTGGGAGTATGACAAAAAAAACAAAAAAAAACAAAAAAAAAAAACAGAAACACAGCAACGCCTACCAAAAAGGTGTCTCCACTGTTAAACAGCACCAAAGGGAGCTGGGAGAATTAGGCGAAGCCAGAAATAAAGCAGCGTTAACTCCGAAGCAGGGCTGAAACTATTTGGTTATCAGCTATTTACATGATCAATTAATTTAGTAAATATGTTTTGATGAAATATTTTAGACTGTTAAAGTTTCCTTTCCATGCTGACATGTAATATACTCTACCAGATGATAATTTTGAGTGTCTGCAAAGTGTTCAAGCTAGTTAATAAGTCACATGATAAGTATTGCTCCTGTCCTATGACCAGAGAGAGATTTAGCTGTTAAAATGGAGAAAACTGAGTGGTTAAACATTTTTGATGCCTCAGCAAGGAGCAGTAACACTGTTCCCTATTTTCTGTTCCTCTTCCCCCTTATTCTAAATTCAGTGATTGACTGGTGCTCATGTGAACATCTTTTCACTGCTCAAATCTTGACTTTTGACAAGGCAACAAATACAAACGTCTAAACATATAACTGTACTAGGTGTATACAGGTATTCAGTAACATGGGTATTCAGTAACAATTAGTTCCTTATAGGCTTTCCAGCATTTCCACTTAATATCTGGGTAAAGGCTTACAGCAAGAGAACCACTGATAATTTGGTTTAATCATAGAGGTTGACATATAGCATGTCTGTAAATATGAACTGAAGGAGGCCCTGTGAGGACAGTCTCTTTAAATTGACTGTTATATGTTACAGCACGTTAAAAGTTAAAAGCTATAAGAGAGTTTGAACAATTACGTGACTGTCATTTCCTAGCATGTCACGTGTGTGATCTAACAAAAAACACTTTTAAAGAGAGGTCCAGGAGCCAGCCACATACGTCAAAACCACCCAAAGACAATGAAATCAATAAAGGACGAAAACAACAGGCAGCATCTAAAACGGTCCCATGTAAACAGCATGGCTAGTTAGGCTAGCGTGTAAAGCAGGTCTCTCATCAAGACAAGACGTGCATCCATTCACATCACTGTAGATGCTGCATCTGAGGGACAACACTGCCATTCACCGTTTTCGTAGAGGGCCAAAATATACATATCCGATATTTTGTATACCACATTACAAAGTCAACAAGGCTGTCAATAAAATTTCTAAGAACTAGTATGCTGAGGCACTCACTGCGCCAAGGGTTGGCTAAACAAGACGTTAGCTACCTGGCTCGCTGGCTAGCTAAAGCTAATCAACATGCACAGTCTTGTCCCAACTTATGTAAGCTGGTTAGCTAGTTAGCAAAGTCCATGGCGTTAGCGTGTTAAAGGTACATCCTTAAATGTTTAGTTAGGTACAAATGGACATAAACTGGACAGAAAACTGGTTAGCTAGTTAAACCATTACTTTTATTGTCACAACATAAGTGACGTATCGTTATAACTTGAAGACCGCTAACGTCAACACATGCTTGAAATTTGATCCGCTACAGCTAGCCTCACTTGCTAATTCCGTGGTTTAACTGGACGGAGAGAACCTGACTTACACCGCCAGGATTCTGTCACCCTTGGCTATTCCAGCTCGGTCTGCCGCACCTCCGGGCAAAACAGCACTGACATGCTGAAGAGGAGCGTAGAGTTCCCCGTTGATGCTCCGAAGCTGCCCTCCTTCGCTAACTTGACCGCGAACATTGAAACCGTAGCCAGACTCGGACTTAACAATCCTCACTATCCGTGGACCTGACGTTACTGTCGCTGCGTTGTGGCCCGTAGTGCTCGCGGACGAACCGATAACTGGACCGTTACGGGATGCTGAAGGAAGACTCGACCGAGTTTCATCGTCTCCTACATCCGCCATCTTATCCAAAGACCCTACCCCCCTCCAGTCAGTGTCTTTTAGCAAATTCAAAACAACACTCGAGCTCCGTCTCTCAATAACGGCACGGACCGACTGTTGTTGATAACCCGCCCCTCAGTAGCGTCACGAGACATGGCCTCACCACGTGACCTCCCGGGGGCGTCACCAAAAGTGTGGTCGCATGTTTTCAATGCAGCTACTTCAACGTTACAAATCTTGATTGTTGCAGACCACGTCACAGTAAATCACTGTCAGTTTCAAATCCCCATTTTTCCTGTGTGGCCTTCAGAGCAACTGACAATTTATTACTAGTCTATACACTGCTAAACACTGCTTTATTTTATATTACCTTGTGTAATTTATCTAAATTAGTGTGTGCAATCGTGTGCAATAAAGATGCTGATTGTTTATTTGACTAATTCTTTTAGTTTTAAAACAGGTAGCTGTAATGTGTGAATGTACCTGCTCTGTATTTGGGAAGAATGAAAATTTTCAGGTTGTCAGCCCTCCAGACGGGATTAGCCTACTCAGTGTCAAATCAAAGATGGAAAATCTTTTTTAAGTAATGCAACAATACTTGGTTTAAAAGCTTAAATCTTACTCAGAATTTTACTTTAAAAAACTATAGTGAGTAAAAAAGTACAAAATAAAAGCATTAATTTGTTT